CCGATGCATGATTGGTGTGATCCTCAATGGTGTAAGTATCTTCAAGCAAAATTAAATGGTCAACAGTTTAATCATAACTCAAAACCAGCTATTCCAAGAGCATGCTTGGACTTGATAAAGCCCGTATTTCACGAGTTGTGTTCTAAAACTAGTTTAGCACGTGTGGTATGTGGTGGATCACAAAATGCCAATGAGGCTTTTCACTCATTATTGTGGACTATGGTTCCTAAGCACCGCTTCTGTTCATCAACTATTCTTCGTACGGCATTAGGTTTATCAACAATAATTTATAACGATGGCTATGACTCATTAGGCAAATTATTTACAAACTTCTTCTCATCCATAGGATATTATTCTGCTGAATGTTTCGGTCGACTCCATACAATGAGAAAATCCTTTACTTCAAAAATTAAAAAAAGACGTAAAAAAGAACAACAACAACAATAACAACAACTACTGCTGCTACTAATACCTCTTCAAGCGAAAGTGATGATGAAATGTCATTTATTCCAAATGATAAAAATTTTACTGATCTTACTCAAGATTTAATCGCATTGGAACTATCGGAAGAGGATGCAGATATGGACTATGAACCGGGAGGGGATGATTAGTTTTTTTCTAGCTTATTATCATTTATGTAAGATTTTTGACAAACTAGTTAATAAACTTTGCTAGAATATTTTTCTCTTTGACAGGAATTCACATGTTTTCATCTGTTTTAGATAATTTTCAACTACTATTATTACATGATATAAAATCATCCATATAAATTCAGATGATTTGGTTCCTATCATACCAAGCAGTTTTTATTGATTTGACAGTGGACATCACATAACTACATGGAGCAAAAAAAAAATTTTCATACGCCTCTGCATACGTCCACTCAATTCGTTCTAATCAATGATCGATGGGAAATCACTAAAAAGTTTATTTCACATCATGTTATTGTAGAAAAAGTCTTGAAATTCACATGTAAAACTTCTTTTGCGTTTTTCTCAAAATAGGGTTTTTTGTTTTAACACTTTTGTATTTCCCAAATTTCTCCGCCATTTTAAACGCTAGAAAGTTTCGCTTGGTGTCAAAATGACGCAAATGATCGGCTCTAGAACTTAACAGAGCCAGAATCTTAGATTTTGTGTTTAATATCTCATGAGACTCAAATTTTTTACAATGTATACCCTATTTTTTCCATATCGTATGAGATAAGCTTCAATGAAAAAAATTGCAAATGAAAAAAAAATCGGGCTCTGTTAAGTTGTAGAGCTATGTTTTTGATATATTTTGAAAGTAACCCGAACCTTCTAGCATTTGAAATGACTGAGAAATTTGGGAAACGCGGACACCCCCATTTTGACCCATAATCGTGAGGTAAATTTTGATAGACTCAATATTTCGAACTGAAATTTTTTTCGTAAGTTACCAACCCCTAGATACACCTTCTCTGAAAAATTCAGCAAGATCGGATGATCAGAAGCAAAAATAGAAATTAGGTTGGGGGGGGGGGCCTTAACGAATGAAAAGGCAAAATTATATTAGAACTTAACTTACATTTCACTTGCAGTTAATCAATATTGTGAATAGCATTTGAAATAGTAAAAAATTTCTCTTCTTTCGAATTTTAATCATAAAAACGAGTTGCTCTATATCATAGAGTAGAGAAAACATTTCAATATTCTCATATTTCTAAATTGTATACATTTAGTATTTAATCCTTATTAGAATAATATCAAATATTACAAGAATGAATATTTTATTTGTAGATGGAATTTTCAATAGAAATAAATAATATTTAAAGAAGAAAAATAGATCGAAAATCGTTTCGTTTGTTTCTAAAATTTACTTATGCACTGCGAATAATTGAAACAGACTTTCAAACTTAATTCATTTTTCATGTATTATAGATATAATGAATTAAACTTTTACGGTTTTATTAAAAATTTTGTTGCACATGATCATGCGTTTGGAATTTCGAAAGGTTAAGTTTTTCGCTAGAGATCGCTCTTGTCTTATGATGCCCTGTTTATATAATTTTTTATAGTTAAATCAAAGAAAAATTCATCGGATTGGTAGAACTGTACGAAATTACTCATAAGTGATGTATTGACTCATGAAACTCTATTTAAATTATTCTATTTTATCCTATTATTCAAATTTTTAATTAATTTTATATATTACAATAAATATGAATTTTATACCTCCCAATACTAAACGTATTGCTGAAGCCCTTGGTAATATTACACAGGTATAGTATATATACAACATAGTTGTCTTTTATATACTTGATTCTTGTTGTAGTTACCAAAAGATATGCAAATGGCTGTAACAAACAAACTTGATGAAAGTTTTCAGCCAGTATCAAAACCTGATCATGATGATTGGTTGAGCATTCATAAAGTACAAGGACAAACTATGAAATCATTTGAACGTACCAGATCAAAAGCTATTCCCCATGCAACGTAAGTGATGATTTATTATTTCTTTCTCTTCAATGCAAAGATTTCGTTTTTTACATAATAGTTATAAAACTATCTATATTCAGCCAGTTGGTAGTTTTAATCATCCACGGTAAAAATGAATTTTATTGTTTTTTTTTCTGATTGAATTATTAATATGAAATTTTAGAGTTATACCACTCAATGTAATTATTGAATTTGTACGTATATTTTTTCCTGGATGTGAATCAATTCTAACTGATTTTCAGACCTATATTTTGGACTAGACAAAACCTAAGAATAGTTTCGGAAAGAGCATTCAAAACTGATCACAACTGGCATGATGAATCGCTAGGAGTCCGGTAATTCTCAACATTGAAAATCTTCTGAATTTCGATTAGAAATTTAACGAATTGGTAGAAATTGATTTATTCCTACTTACAAAAACTTGTGCCTGATATTGAGAATTATTGGACTCTTAGGGATTTTTCATACCAGTTGTGATCAATTTTGAATTTTCTTTCTGAAACTATTCTTAGATTTTGTCTAATGTAAAACACAGGTCTCAAAATCAGTTAGAATTAGTCAAAACAAAACTAAAAAATTCGGATTTTCAACCAATTGCAAAACCTTTATTTTGTATTGCATGAATTTCGACTACGACTTCGGATAGAGCAAAACAAAAATTGATTAAGGTTGATATAAATAATCCACAAGCACTACATTCCTAATAAGGAAAAAAATGACATCTTTGATATCATACTCTAGGAATCTGTGCATTCCTATGTTTGCCCATCTATCACAATCTTCAATTATTTCAACACCATATTCATATTCGATTGATTTTGATATTTTTGAAAATGTTCTTCAAAACAAACAAAGCTTGAAAATTGCGTGAGAAAAAAGGAAAATATTTATGGTAAGTGTTTGGACGTCCAGAAATGTTTGAGCTCTCCTTTCTTCTGTCCAATTTTGATGCACCTTTACCTCCTTTACCTGAATGTCCTTTATGGATGATTCCCAACATTATATATGGATACAGAAATTTTTTTTTAATAATACTAATTATAGCCCGCCTCTCTCCTCTCTGCCCACGTGTATCTATACAAGTGTTCAGCAAAGTAAAACGACTTCTTATTAAATCACGTTTTTTTCTCTAATTCTATAAAGCTAAAGATGAAAAAACAATTAAAAAAAACATACTTTCAAAATATCTTTCTTCTTTTTAATATCTGACAACCTGTCATGTTAAATCTATTCTACTACCTCTTTTCAAAACATGTATACTTTCCAGTAGATGCAATTATAAATTCGATTTAAAAAAATGATAAGATTGCTCTGATAATCTTCTTTTGAATAGCCAGCTACTTAACTATTATAAACAGTTCTTTTAAATAATATAGATTATAACTTTGTGTAATAAGAACAATGCCGAAATAGAAGTCACGTTCAGTTTAGTCTTGATCTTTGATGTATGGAAAATTTATCTAGGAAAAAATGAACCTTTCTTTCTTCTTTCTGTTAATATTTGTACAATGATCGTCATATGAGTAAAAAGATCAATATAATTATTGAAGACTTTTCTTAGCCGTTTTCTTTTTTTTCTTACCTATATTGCCTTTTATTCTCCTACACTAAACACATTTCTTTTTTTGTGGGCGTGTACTAAATCATGCGTCGTTGTTCTTACTTTTCTAATTAATCAAGATTCATCAAATAAGTATATAGACACAGTGGTTTTTATTTGTGTGACATATATGTCAATATATTCTCAAAAGTATTATTTAACTGTAACGCAATTCATAGCTTTGATATCGAGAACTTTGTTTTGTTCTTATATTTGATATTTGTTCTGTTTGAAGCTTATCATTTTCAAAAGTTTTCGTTTCTTGGTCAGCATGAATTTTATTCGATTTTTTATAGTTTTTTTTTATCTTTTTATTTCGTATGTGCATTGTGAAGAATGTGGATGTAATAAAATCCCATCGATAGAAGTGATTAATGATGAAGGATTAGCTAATGGAATTAAAGAAGTTCGTGATGATTTTCTTGCAAGACAACCATCAAGTAACTTTAATCGGTTATCTGCAACAATACTTATCAGAGAGAAAGATACACAAACATGGAAAAGAGGTAGTGTAGACGGTACTTTAGTAGCATATCCAGCATCAACAGTAAAATTAATGTATATGTATTCAGCTATGGAATGATGTAAAAAGCAAGGTCATTCAGTTGATTGTTTAGATACATATGTTCGACCAATGATTGTAGTTTCATCGAATTTAGATACAGGTTATGTTGTTGATGCCATAACGAATACAACAAATATTGATAATTTAACTTCAGTTAATGATACTCGTTGGTCAAATTGGTTTGGGTGTGGGTGTGAATCTTCTTTCACAAGATACCCGCACCCACATCCACACCCCACACCTACCCCACACCCACACTCAATATACTACCATTCATAGGAAGAATACTTTACTTGGACAACTAATAGTTCGATGTATAAGACTATATTATACGTTTCTCAGCTGAAAAACCAAAATCAAAGAAAAAAAAGAATCCGAGTATGGAAAAAATGATCGCATATCTATGAAAAATACTAGTATACATAGGATGAATGCTTTGACCTGAACATAAGGTGTATGATAGAAATAGAAGATTAAAAATCTGATAGAACAGTAAAAATACTGGACATGGATATCTAGAGTAACGAGAGCGAAGAATGAGAGAGCTTCGAGGTATTATCCAAATGCACAACAGCGATCGAAGAAATTGCGATCTTACTCGTTTTGTCCTTCGTTGTGATCACATGTAAACAATGCTTCGATATATACATATAAGTATCGTCCATACGAATGTATACACAGAAAGGAAAGGAAAAACATTTTTGACTTGCACCACAGTTTTTCGCTAGATATCAGCATTTTTCTCATCGACCGCAAAGTTGTCCACTGCTGTTATGTCGTAGATGATGACTAATGGGTACCCCCAATATATAGCCCATAAAGTGTTAGGGTAAGCACAATATATAACCCACGAACTGTTAGGGTACCCCCAATGTATGGTAGATAATGGCTTATGTGTACCCACATCACGTAGCCAATGATGAATAATGGGTTCCCTTTATATAGTACATCACAGGTTTGCGGTACTCCCACTGTTTAGTACAGGAATCGTTCTTGCTAACAGAGATATATAGTAGATGATGAGTTCTCAGTACCTCATTAAAAAGTAGATGTACGGTTACGCGTATCCCCATTATATAGCGGATGAAGGGTTATGGGTACCCCGTTATATAGCCAATAATTAGTTCTGGGGATCCCCATTATATAGTACCTGTACAGTTATGGGTACCCCGTTATATAGCCAATAATCAGTTCTGGGGATCCCCATTATATAGTACCTGTACAGTTATGGGTACATTAACTTATGAAGCCTAATGTTAGTGCCACGCCTATCCAAGCGTCCTCCGCATTATATAGTAGTTGATGACCCAAGGGTATCCCAAATATAGAGTAGTTGATGACCCAAGGGTATTTTGTGAATTTATAGGGAAACGTGTATCGGTTAATTGTGTTCGAAAGCAACGTACCGTAAAGGGGATAGTTTTTACGTCTAACTTCAATTTCTAAAAAAAAACAAAGGTCTTCACTTTCATCACGGCAAACGACTAACGGTATATACTTGAAAGCTAAAAAAAAAAGGTCTTCACTTTTATTACATGAACCGACTAGCCGTATGTATGAAAGCTAAAAAAAAAATCCCCTCCACTACTTTTTCCCCCAACACCTCAAACCTAAAAAAAAAACCCACCACTACCTTTTCCCCCAATCTCTCAAACCTAAAAAAAAAAGCCCCCACTAGCTTTTCCCCCAACATCTCAAACCTAAAAAAAACCTTCCGCTACCCTTTCCCCCCACCCCCCCAACCTCCCCCCCCCCCCCCCCACTACCTAGATGTTTTGGTGAAAGGCATCCATTTGTGTCACACAAGTGCCATCCTATAACGAAAGAAAAATTTTGTTATTCACAAGTTATTAATTCAACTTATTTTACTTATCTGTCTTCGATTGTAATAATCTCGTCCACAAAGGTAATATTCGTCCATAAAGGATGTCAACAAAGATTATTTTCAATAAATAGATTTAAATTTATAAAAATAATTTTTCAAAATGTAATTGTAAATAATAAAAAGAACAAGTTAAAAAGAATAGATGAAAATTTTTGATAGCGCAAAATGGTTATTTTTTTTTTAGTTTTTTCTTGAGAACATCAACAAAAACTGACCTTATCTGATCACATGTAATGAAACATTGATGGAAACAAATACACTGTTTCTTTATAATTTTTTATTCGTTTTTATTCGCTCACTAACTAAAAGTCTTTCTATCTAGTTATCCAATATGTCAGATGAACAATTTCAAAGAATCAAATTTCACAAGTTCTAAACTATTTAATATTGAGTAAACCAACACTGTTTACAGTTGAACTTTCGAATACATTGATAAACATAGCTTATGATAGTTTCAATTTGAGCGTGTGAGGGTGGCAGTATAATAAAATAACAGCAATGACTGCAATAAAAATAGATCATTGTATGAAATTTCCGGATGAATTATTAAAGATTATATTTTTTTCCAAAAGTGATTAATTGTAAAAAAAGACACATTTATTTTAATTTAAGACAGAAATTATTTATTTACAAAAAAAAAAGAAAGATACGTAGAAAGAAGTTGATTGACAAAACAAGTATAAGAAAGAAGTGTATGAAACTAAACAAAAATTTACTCAAAATCATCATCGTTTGTAATTATTTGTTGGATTTTCCGGCAGCTATATTTAAAGTAATTACCGTTAGCCTTTTGATGTTCTATACCATGTACACAAGGCTCAACCTGAATTATAATAAATTCACCAGCAGTAGTTTCATGAATATGCAATTTAATGCCTTGACAACGCTTTCGTTTTTCATTTGTTTCTGCTGATTCTATGCAAAGATGTTTCTTTGATAGGCAACCAATTGTATCACAGAGATGTGACGCTAAAGATAAACATAAATGCCAGTGAATATAACAATAGAAACAAATGTGAACTAACCTTGTTGACCATCTTTGTACGATGAAAGCAGAGGAAGAGGACCGAAAGAAGAGTGAAGTACAATATGATGAGAGTAAATCATCAATGTATCGATAGATTTGGATGCACAAAACTCGTTGAAAGCAGTTTGTACTGATGATGGCCAGGATTTGCCATTTAAGCGTAAGCGACTAGAAGGATGGTAATTTGGTGGTTGGTGCATATGATGTTGTTGAATATAGCATTGCATCCGTTTTTTTAAAAAAGCGCCTAAAAGAACACGTTTATATGTTATTTTATTTAGTCAAAATATAACTCACCATCTTGTGGTTGAAGACTTCTCATCGTCTGAAGATTAGCCATACTGATTGACCCATAGACGTGACGATCATTCACTAACTTGAGATAACCACCAGACGCGTACACAGCTTTTTTGAATTCTCTTACGTGTTCATCGTGAAGTTCATTAAGAAGAAGTTGAGTGTTTGGTGTTTGTAATGCCATGTGTAGTTGGTTAATATTGTTGAATAAGATAGTGATATGTTTAGTGAGTGAAATGCAGACGCTATATATACACATTATTTTATCTATGTTGTCATTGTTCAATACGCCCGCTATGTAAGAGAAAATGAATGAGACGGAAATCATCAAACAAGACAATGACTTATATTGTTGATATATATATATATATAATAACGACACAGACGTCAAAATATTCACCACGTATAAGCTACTCTATCAACAATCATACTCATATATTCTATATTTTCTTATTTGTCAATACTTATATTTCGTTTTTCTTTTCTTGTATATTTCCTTTTTCTTTTCTTGTATATTTATTTTTTCATTGTGTTTTGTTCGTTTTTGTTCTGTAAACTTCTCATCTGAAACATATTCAAAAACGACATCACCAATCAACCTCTACAATCAAGTTACACGGCGGTTTACTAAACCCGGCAATATTTACCTTCGGCAAGAGTTGGAGAAAAATCCGTATCCCACGAAGGAAGAAAAACAAGAAATCTGCAAATGGATCGGTTGTGACATGGAAACATTAGAGGTAACAGCAAAAAAAACAAAAAAAGCTCAACGATTTTTCGTATTTTCAGGGCAAACTGAAGAACACCCACCGGCAAATGAAGAATTCAAGAATACCATCACCACCACCGCCACCATAAGACAATCCAATTAACAATGAAGAGTCTACTGCCTTCTCATTTTTCAGTTTATTATCAACAGCTCAAGCATTGGCATTCAAAGAAGAAATGCTTGACAAGGCAAAATATGAACCACACATTAATCCACGACACCTGCCTCCATCAATAACTCCCGATCAGTTGAAGCAAATGACCGGTCGCAATCGTTATCACGGTGAGTTTTTCTATTTCTTTATTATCGTAATGAATATCTTGTTTTCAGGTGAATTTTTTTTCGAATGGATGTCTTGCTCAATTACTCGGCAAGACTTACTTTCAGTACCAAGTCATGCACCACGACTACACTTATATGCTAACAAATTAGTATTTCAAAGTGTTCAACACCACATTAATACCGTCTGCAACAGAATAAACAGGAACACATTTTCGGTTGCCAAGCACCATGTTGTCCTCAAAACAATCGAAGATGACCTTCCGCGATTATCGGCTGAAGATGGCGGCAGCACAGGTAAGATAATAATCTTTCATATCGTTTGTTCATCTCTAATGATTGTAGCTTCTCACCTTTGTGATACAAACGGCTACATCTCCGACAAACATATTATACTTGAACCTTATCGCATTAATGCAGACAGAAAACACTGCGAAGGTGTTATTCTTCTCGTCCGCCCAGCAACATCAATATCTCTCCCACACATCATTAAAGCTCAGCACTGTTCTCACGGCGAGAACCATCCCAAATTTAACGGCGATCTTTTCGAATTCAGTTGCCGAAAACTTCAAATAATGTTTCAAAATAAAATTTCTCTTGATTTTTTCAATAAAGAAAAAATAAAATAATATACTTTTTGGAATCATCTTCAAAATTTCATGAAACTTTATCAAATGTATTCCATTAAGGCTCCCCCCCCCCCTCACCCTAAAAAGTCAATTTTCGTCAAATTTTTCGATTTTTTGATTTA